AAGGAATGCAAAATTTAGCGCGAACATTTAATTTAATTACTTTTAACTTCAACTCTGCCTTGGTAGTCGCTTTCCGTGCCAGCCAGCCGAATATCGTAATCCAAATTTTCCACGGTGCAGATAGTTTCGTCGCTACGATCGTTACAGTCGTTCTTTCCGTTGCACACTTGGGTCTGATTTATGCACTTGCGATTCTCACAGACGAACATTCCTTTGCACTCGACGCTTCTGTCTTTCATCTCGTAGTAGTCGTATTCTTTGTTAGGCTTCAAAGACCCCGTCATTCCCACGTTGCTGTCGCTTAAGAAACAAATATTCTCGTCTGCCCTGGAAGAAAAATAAATTTCGAAAAGTATTAGAAATTTTCATGTTCACGTGTACTTTTTTTTTTTAGATAATTTAATAATTATACAATTTTCTTTAATAACAAATTCTTTCTTTTCTTTAAAAATAAATTCTTCTCTAATAAAATCCTCTTTTCTTTAATAAGTAAAGAAAGTTCAAGCTCCTGATTCTGGACCTGAACGCACGAGTAACCTCGTACTCACTTATGTGAAAAGGATCGGCACGTAAAATCAGCGTCTTTGCATCTGAGAGCGCACGTCTTCAACGATGTGTGCAACCACTTCTGAACGTCATACCCTTCAAGTTTATGCTTGGAATACTTCTGATATAAATCCATATATGAAACGCAACTCCTCTCGTCTATTCCATCCGTGCAATCCTTGAAATATATCAAAGATCTCCGTCAGCTTGATTACTTAACAACGAAACTATCAAAGTAGTTGAAATCATTTTCTGATCTTTATATCGGCAGTTCTACGCAAGAATCGTTCACAAAATTTCAAAGTTTCCTTTAAATTTCTTCCGAACAACGTAATACGTACTTCTTCTCCATCGCAGACCCATGTCGAAGGAATACATTCTCCCGGTGAGCACTCGAAATGCCTGGGCATGCATTGACCCATCGAAACCGATCTCTGAGAACCTGGTAGAAAAAAATTACGAAGCATAAAACGAGAAACGAAAAACTGAGAGGTGAGAAAACATTATTAAATATATTAGATAGTAATAATGTTATTAATTAAAAAATATTGTTTCTACCTAGATTCCCACAAGATGGAATGTCGCAACGCTCCTTCTCCCCACGTGGCCCCGCGAAACACCAAGGCTTGTTCTCTCTGTTCGAATTCGGATTTCTGCAGTAATTGTGGCTCTTCAGTTTTTCTCGCACATCTCGATTAAGAACCTAGAACGAACAATTTGCTGCTTAGTTTAGCGATCAAGTATTTCAAAAATAAATTCTTTTCGTTTCGTTTCAAGTTTAAACAGAGAGGAGTAAATTTGCGAGAATATATAACTCGACTGACATGGATTTCGAGCGGATGGGCAACCTCCGGATCACCCCACGATAAACATTCTTTCCCCGACGCCGTGACATTCGCTGTTCCAGCGTACTGACTTCCTTTCCCATAAATGCAACCTGCGAGAAATGAATGGACAATAAATATCAATTAATGAATAAAAACAATCAGCTCAATTTCGAGAGGAAATATAATCTAATATTGCTAGAATTACAAGATTTCTTATGTTGAAGTATCAGTTAACGAGTAAAGTTATTACCAATGTCATCGTAGGGCCTCTTGCAAATGAAAGAGTGGCCTTTGCCAGAGGCAGCGCAGTCCTCCGCGTCCCAGAAGAAATAATCAGCTACGCATATCGAGTCTGGCCTGTCGTGACATGGGAATTTCCGCTTCATTACTATGCAAGCAGGTCGAAAGCCCACGATTGGGGGATGTTTCTTGTCCCCCATCCAACCTGGCCACCATTTCGTGAACCTAGTTACAATTGATCGATGTAACTGACCGACAAACGTGATATAATATTTATGAAATCCAATGCAAAATTTGAATTATATATTATTATGAACTACATGAATATTGAATTATATTATTATGAATTATAATATCATTATATTACATGACTATATATATTATTCAATTGAATGATAATATAATACAATGCAAATATAACAGTAACTTACAATTATATTTGCATAACGTGACAAACGTGAAATATTTTTATGGTACAATTCAATGCAACATTCAATTGAATTATATATCATTATGAATTACATGAATATTGAATTGTTGAATTAAATGATAATATAATACGATGCAAATATAACAGTAACTTACAATTATATCTGCATATTGTGACAAACGTGAAATATTTTTATCATACAATTCACTGCAACATTCAATTGAATTACATATTATTATGAATTACATGAATATTGAATTGTTGAATTATATTACTATGAATTATAATATCATTATATTACATGATTATATATTATTCAATTAAATGATAATATAATACAATGCAAATATAATAGTAACTTACAATTATATTTGCATAACATGACAAACGTGAAATATTTTTATGGTACAATGCAACATTCAATTGAATTATATATTATTATGAATTACATGAATATTGAATTATATTATTATGAATTATAATATCATTATATTACATGACTATATTAATTATTCAATTAAATGATAATATAATACAATGCAAATATAATAGTAACTTACAATTATATTTGCATAACATGACAAACGTGAAATATTTTTATGATTCAATTCAATGCAATACTCAATTGAATTATATATTATTATGAATTATAATATCATTGTATTATATAATTGAATTATATATAATGCATATTATAATACAATTATGATATAATAATAACTTATAATTATATTTGCATCGTATTATACAGATATAAATTAATGAATAAATATAATGATATGAATACTTAATAATTACATAGAATGTAATAATACAATCTTTCGACGTTCAATCTTGTGGAAATAAGCGTACCTAAATTTCGCGCGAGAAGAATCCTCCCAAAGCCAGAGGGTGCGATTCATGGTAGTGAAGCCGACGCCAGAAGTCATAATCGATGCGACTTCCGGGCGAGTTTGCAACACCCACTCGGAAATGAAATCGTTCTCCGCTTGGCTGGTGATATCGAGGAGCCGTGACTGTCGCTGTGTGCAATAATCCAACGCTTCCTGGTGGTTCAGGCCGTTCTCAGGCTCGGCTAAGTGATAACATTGCCCCTCGTGCGGTATCTCGTCCTTGCGACAGTGAGCCACGCGATTCTGCACGCATCTTACGCCGACTGCGTCCCTCTCCACGCGACATTGCTGTCCGTGCGTGAATCTGCGCGATACGTGAGAAGAAACAGAAGTTGTATCTCGGGAACAATGATTTTAAGAGTATTCGACTATTAATTTAAAATTTGAATTTAATTTTAAAATTTAACTCAAACACTAGAATCCTTAGCCTCCAAATACTGTCGCTTCGTGATACGTATCGTCACAGAAGATTCTTGGCGTAGCGAAGAGCATAACTATATCTGTGACAATGAAAATGTGTCGATGATTTAAACTGATGTAACTTCGTACAACGACGTTCGTGTACCTTCTCTCTCGAAGGTTATGGAAATTCAAATGTCTGTAATAATATTAAGAAGTTTATTAATGCAACCAGATGTTTTAAAGATTGATATTTTCCCTACTATAACGACTTTTTAAAAATCGGTCTTATTAATCATGTTATCAAGCTTTGAATTTTGTCAGGATTAAAAGACAAAAATTTAAGAAGTTTCATCATCTAACTGTAATGTTCAAAATTATAGAAATGTTGAAAAAAAAATTCTACAGCAAATCTTAAGAAGTTATTGCGAAAGAGATACTTCAATGTTCAAAATGACGATAGGTTTAGTCACGAAAAAAGTGATTTTAATATTTTCGCAAATATTTGAATATTTTTTTCCACCATCAAGAGCAAACTCATTGCTGTCGAAGTAGAAGTTTCGTGCTTTAAAATTTCTTCGTTCTTATAACGACATTATATCAGTTTTAAATTTTCATTGTCATTGGTAGATGAGTTATGCCAATCATTGTGTGAATTACAGACAATAAATCTTCGTCGATTCCTGAATTTTAGATTACATTTTCAAAAACGTTCTCTTCTCGCGTTTCCGGGAAATGGGAGCATGACTCGTAACGCTCGTTCCGACGATTAATGCATTGTTTGTTCGAAACAAGAGAGTTATCACGAGAGTGAAGAAGATAGCGAAGGAGGGGGAGGAGGACGTCATGGACTTGGAGCCTTACTTGCACGATTGAAATTTGCTCTCGCGGTCCTGACACGAGACAGAGTTTGCTGCGATCCAAGTTGGCACACCGTTGCGAGAGTCTCTCCCTTGCCAAGCCGCCTCGGCGCCGCTGTAAAGAACAATGGAATTTCCATCATCCCGCATTCATGTATACCGTGTTGTTGCAGAATTTCAAATCGCCGACATACATAATTTTTGTCAAATTATTCCTGTAAGATATATCGTCACTACATGCAACACTATATGTGCTAGGGACACCCATAAGTAATGTCGTTTTCTTTAAATTTAATAAACATTGTCATCTAGTGACAATAATTTAACTTATTATAATATAACTTTATAATCTTATTATAATATAACATAACTTGTATTCTAGTTAAATATATTGACATTTAGTGTGCTTATTATTAATTTATTAACTCTTAAATAGAATAAGATTTTATGCAGTCTATCAAAAAATGACATTACTTGTGGGTACCCCTAATATGACACTTGTTCGTTTATAAATGCAGAAGGAACTTTTACTTTTGAAATTGTAGGAGAAATTCTTAAATATTCTTAAGAAAGAATATTTAATTTCTTAATATTAAATTATTTTTCGCAATTTGTTACATAGTAATTAAATAATATTTCGTATTATAGAACAATTAATAATTAATATCTTAAATATTTTTAAGAGTAATCGAAATATTCCTACGAAAGAAAAATAAGAGAATAAAATGTTGGAAAGCTAAAGTTGATACAGAATGATCGTTGCAGATCAACTTTATTAATTCGAAGCTATCATATTATAGAGTACCTGGGATAGCCAAGTTGTTTGCACACGACATGCGCTTCTTTCAAAGTCCAGCTGTACTTCGAGTCACAAACGATTCCCCAACCAGGATTCGCACCTTGTACTTCGACGTATCCAACGTAGGGGTAAGAAGCACCCCTAAGTCGAATTACCTAAAAAGTTTTTTTTTTCAAATTCAATCAATAACGAACACATTCTGGATTCTTAGCTAAAAAAAAAAATGGGAATATTATGAATAGAATCGAGAGTCATACCTGGCCGGAAATCGGTGTTGGCAAAGCAGTTTTTCTGGAATGATCCATCGGCTCCACTGGTGGAATGTAGTACGATGGGAATGGCGGCTCTTCTGCAAAATCATATTTTCTCGTTAATCATTACACTGTATTTTGTATTCCAAGATACTCGTTATCACTCGTAACACTATAATAAACTGAACAGTCCTTGTAAGTATCGAACATCAAATTTACAGCCATCTCTATATTCTGGTTTTTTACTTGGAAAAAAAAGTTAATATACTAACAAAACATATTTCTGCTTTTCTATGTAAACAGGTAAATCAAAGAACAAATAAGAAATTGCAAATTTAAATAAATAATAACCTCTCTTTTCCGTGAGAATTCTCTCATTTAGTAGCAAACTTTCAGTAGTCAGCTATCATGTATAATAAAATTCCGTTGTAATCTCGAATTGTTTCAAGCCGAGCGTCAGAGGGTCATTCCAAGAGCGATTCATGCCAAAAGCCAATCAAAATTGTGCAAAAAAAAAAAATCTCAATTGCACGAAATCTAAATTAAAAAAAAAACTTACCTGTTGTCTCGTTGAACCTCCGGACGAAGTAACTATAATTTTCATCATTAATCTACATTAACTGGACTTACCATCCTCGAACGGAGCAGCTTCGATATTAAACAGATCCACGTCCGCTTTCTTCTTGTTGATCTTCATAATGACAGAAGACTCCGTCGTAGTCGTCTGAGTTCTGTTCTCAAAAACCAATACCGGTTTCCAAGCTTCCCTGTCGTCTAGCACGTCGACCTCGTAGTCGAAATCAGGCTCGACAACGGCTGGATAACCCGTAGTCGAAGTACTTTCATCCTCTATCCACACAACGGGCACGTTCGAATCGGTCGTCGTGCTCGTTTCACCTCCACGCCTCTCGTTACTCTGATGAAGCTTCTGCGCGTTTGGCGCGATTCTCCGAGTCGTGCTACTGACGAATCGTGCGTCAGACGAATCATTGGTCCGATCACTGGGTTCCTCGAACGGCGGCTCGAGATTGCTCGACGGAACATGCGGATACTGGCCGGTGACGTTTGGTACGAAATTTGAAGGGATCAGCTGACTCAAAGGTTGAAAATTATCCAGTTGTCTCGGACGCGTAAAATTCTGCATGTGGTATCTCGTCGGTTCGACGAATGAAGTTGAAGACGGTTGAAGTTCGATGGACGGAACTGACGGATACTGCCAGCCGACGGGGAACGTATTGTTCGATACAGGTCGATAGAAGGGCGGTTGAAGATTCGTAGATGGACCGTAACTATCAGGTTCTGAGAAATTTACCAACGATGGAAAGCTTGGGGACCAGTTGAGAGATGGGTACGGTGGCTGAAGGTTCGACGATGGCACGGACACACGGTTGTAATGACTACCTGTTAAATCGAGAGCGTTTTGAAGAGATAATTCAACGTTCTAACGATTTGAAGTAATTACCATCGTTCGAAACTCGTTGGAAATTTTTTTCACAATCAGTCAGGTATCTGACCTCGCAATGTCTTCTACGTGGGCTTAATTCGCAATTAATTCAGATGCAGCGTTATTCTCTTTTACGGTACATTTTAAGAAGTTTAATAAAGCAAAAGTAAATATTACCAGATTCATTTAAATCTTCAGAACTCGCAGGATTCGAGTTACTCGTCCAGTAATTTTTTGGATATCTGTCCCCGTGACGCGTGTTCTCAGACTCGGGTGAACGATCACCGACGGAAATGGGTGGTGGCTGAAGAACCACGGACGGTATGTAATCAAAATTGGTGGTTTGAGAGTCGACGTAGACATTTCCGTCGCTTTTGTCAAACTCGTTCGAGCCGCGAAGATCGTTCGACCTGTAGGTCTTCGTTTTCGAATGGCCTTGATCTATTTCGATTTCCTTCGTGATAAAATGCCCTCTTGTGCCGTTTAAATTCACGTGTATGCCATTTGGGTAGTTTGAAAGTTTCAACGAATCGGTTGAAGTATTCTTTGTTTCTACAACAGCATTAATAGAAATTTATGAATAATAATAATTTCAGTTTATGAATAAAAGTCCTATCGTAAAAATTAATCTGCATCAAGACACGTTTGACTTATCGTCGAATAGAAATTAGTCTGTTATTATAAAGTTGTTGTAAAGAATTAAAGTGGATTAAAGTACATCACATATATACGTATGTACCTGATCCATGTTGACCTTTACCATGGAGAAAAATATTCGGCCATGCGTTTAACTTGGAGTCTGCTTGCTTATTGGCCGTGCTCTGATAAATATTCGTTTCAGATCGCCATTCACGAAATTTGTCATCCACGTCGGAGGGACCTGAAAGAGATTCATTTTTAAAATTGTTTATTCGATCGCGTTACTTACCCAGAGAAGTGAAAACTATCCACCAAGCAAGGCAACACGTTAACAAATACACACGTCGTTCGTTTCCCTATTTTTTTCACATTTTTCTTCAATCAAGTGATGTTTTATAAAAGAAAAAAAAATTACAAAGAAGATTTAAAATTTTAAGTAAATAATCATGATATTTATAATTTTACTTACAGCTATCGTAGAAAAATTCCTTAGAGATAAATGTATGTGTGTATTTTTAATCTACGTACAACGCAAACCCAGGGTTTTCTCCTAAATAATTTTATCACGAAGTTGAACAATCAACAAATAACGATAGAAAGAAAAGTAAAACTTCCATATGGTGCAACATGCTATTAGACACGCAAACAACTCTCATGCATCAGGCGTGTTTGTTAATTTTCACTTAAATCATGCAAAAGTCCCAAAAAGCGAAACACTCGAGCAGATGAATCAACATAGAAAATTGATAAAATGGCTCTTGTCTTATATACGAGAAATTATCTCGCCATTTCTACATACATTTCCAAATTCAATTTAAAGAATCCACTTAAACATCACAAAGATGCCATTGAGAATGTTCGTGGCCTTACAAAGATATTATCATAAGAATGAAGCACATTCAAACACATTCGATCGACTGTGTCAATCGACCAACTTTAACCAAGTTTAAAAGAAAAATCACCTTGATCCCACTGTCGATTCTGATCCTGATTCTGACTTGGCACCTGTCCTGCACCTTGTTGGCTCCAGCTGCCAGGAACAAAGCTGTTCCCCGTTGCCACTGGTTGCCAGCTCGTCCTGTTCTCCGCAGTCTGCATGTGGAACCTCGAATCACCATCCCCGGACGACTGATAGTTACGATTCACATAAACGTCAGACCCTGATCCTGAAGAAAACGCGGGGCCAGTTCTTCCATACTGCTGCCTGTTAGGCGTGAACTCTCGACCCTGATTCGCGATACCATCTCCAAATGCAAAATCTCTGTCAGAGGGATAATCGAATCTTCGAGTAGGTGGCTTCTGATCAAAGACGGGCTGTTGAGTCTGTTGACCAGAGTCCATAGCACTCCACGGATAACTGGGAACGGTCTCTGGCCTACTATCGCCGTAATGATAATGACGATGCTCGTGTCGATATCCGTGACTGGAATGCCAGCCTCCAGTTGTCTCAGTTTCTTGACTTCCTGGCGTTTGGGTAGCCACAGGTTGCTGCGTCTCGGTATTTCTGTCGGAATCGTGAACCGGTCCGTGAGGATAATGATGGTGACGATGATAATGATGATGGTATCTATTCTGATGATTCCATTGAGGGTGTTCGCGACCTGATCCTGACGCGTGATCCCATCGATCGTGATCGTTGTGTCGGTGTTGTTCGTTAGTAGATTGCTGGCCTTGAGAGTACGGTGGCGTGGCAGTAGTCCAAGCACTTGGTTTCCAGCTTGGTATCCACGTCGGTCTCAAGGAGTCCCAGTCTGTTCCTGGACGACCTGTCGTTACGGAGTGATTAGGATGGTCGCGCGTGTAACCTGGCCTGTAACGACCCTGTGACGTGTGGTTGTGTTGGTGAGTGTGTTGCCAAGTTGCTCTCGAGTCTGTGGAACCGTGAGACGAAGGCCACGGTTTGTAGGTGGCTGGTGTAGGTAAATCGAGCGAGTGTTGCGTTCGCGATGGTTTATCTGCATTTGAATAAATTGTCAGCTCGTTGTATATATCTCGTGGGAGAGTGGATTAGTACAGCGAAATCTCCGTATCCGAACTGACGTAACAGCATGATTGAAATTCGAGATAGTTAAGCTTGGAAATTGATGATCTCTAGTGACATTGTTAGATGGTCAATGCTGTCCACTTGTGAAAAAAAGATGTAGTAGATATTGTAAATACTCTTGTAATGTATGTGCATAATTTTATTGGACAAAATAACAGGCAATTATTATAGATAGGGTTGTCATAGATCACTCTACTTGTGTAAACAAACTACGTGTGGATACGAGGATCTTACTGTACATCAATATTGGTATAATCAATATATCGGCACAATGTTGGTGTAATATCGATATACTATCGGTATAATATTAAAATAGCTGAAGTATGCGTTGTAATAATATATACCTTTGTTGCAACTAGGCACATTGTACGGCCAATCGCAGACAGAGATCGCCGGATTGAAAGCTGTACCGGGTCCGCAATCCATGACGAATGTCCCACCATTCGTACATTGGAGAAATTTCTTGCAGGTGTCTGGATGGGGCAACAGTCCTGTGTAACCAGCTGGGCAAGCGATTTTCCTCGCCTGTTCAGGTTTAGAATATTGTAACTTTCCATAGTCTTCGTAATAGTCGGGAGGGACCAGTGGCGTCGTGACTTCTTCTTTGGACTTCACAGCGTCTATTTGACAAGGTATCATTGATGACATTCTTGAATCGTACATTAACATCGAAATTTTCAAATTCTTCGATTCTCTGGTAATTTTTACGAATCCGGAGCGAAGAGATTGATTGGTCGCCTGTCAATTTGATACAGTTTTGCTTACCTTCGCAGCCTCTTACGTTGTTCGGCCAATCGCAAACGCTTATGGAGGGATTGAACACAGTGCCAGGAGCACAATCCATGACGTACGTTCCACCGTTTGCACATTGCAAGAATTTCGTGCAGTCTGAAGGATGCGTTATCAAGCCTGTTATATGCGGTGGACATCGTGGCTCCTGTAACCGAAATTTACCGTTTTTAAACAATTACGTGACATACATCTGACAGTTGGCATTGTAATCAGTCTTTAATATTATCCTTGAGCAATTTCAATACCAATTTTTTAACTTCATAATTGATAATAGGGTAAAGTAATATGCCTAATATGGGACTCATATTTTAAAAAACAACATAACTCTCGACTAAAAGCATTTTTTCGTTAAACTCTTTTACGCATTTTAAAATCCCACTACAAATGAAAATGGCTAAACACCTACCCACGTTGAAGATATTTATAATCGAACCATTCAAAAACTTTTTATAACGCCATTCACTCTAACGTGCGTTTCCTCGAGGCGTTCAACGATTTCTAATGCGCCATGTGCATAAGAACTGGTAAACTTAGTTACAAAAAAAAAAAGCATCGCGATCACGCTCGACAATTCCGCAACGAAGATAAGCCAGAAGAGAGGTCCCATATTAGGCAAATAAAGTCGTTTCACGATTGCTGACCTGTGGCCGTCCATGTTCCATGTAACCTTGATGACTTCCAGATAACAATGGCTCGCGATTCTCCGATGAATCGAAATGCTTGTCCGATGGGAATTCAGCTACTTCATTGCCGTAGCATTTAACTTTGTGCGGGAAATCGCATTCCAAGGTGTCCGGATTGAAGAGAGTACCAGGGGCACACGGCTGAACGAAAGCTCTCCCCTTCCAGCAGTTTACGAAAAATTGACAGTTAGGGGGGTACACGAATTGCCCGGTCGAGTCGAATTCCGGGCACTGGACACCTTGTTTGTCGTCGTATCGAGCCACCGTCAATTTCTGTTTCGTCGATTGATAGATTTTCTCCTTGCGCGACTTCTAGGAAAATTATGTATTAGAATTTTGATGTATCTTTTTTTTTTTTTTGAAAGGGAAGAAAAGATTTTCTAAAATTTACGATCTAAACCTGGTGACTCTCAATCTTTTTACGACACATAATTCTTATTATCGAAAGATTTGAGGAAGCCTAGAAAGGCCATTAATTTCAAGGTCTAAACGAGAACATGACATCCATGAAAGGAAAAAAATTAGAAAGTTAAATTTTCATTTAAATAAATGCAAAAAATTCTTTCTCATTCTCGAATTGCCTCCCCGTGAGCTCCACAAACAAAGAAAAGACGAATATGTGTACCTTGCTGTCAGGTGGCACTCCTTTGTAAAAATCATCCTGATCGTCATCCTTCATCACTGTCTGGGAATTAGTTTCTTTGCAAGCATCCTCTTTCTTCTCCTTGTCTTTCTGCTTTTGAAAATCATCAGGGCTCGGAGGGAGGTCTTTGTTTTGTTCCTGCTGTTCCAGCCGTGCTCCACTATACTCCAAGGAAGAGCCAGCGTGTTGATCGAAATCTGTCGTGTTTTGAGAATCATCAGAGATCTCCGTTCTATGCTCGATGTCACTACCCTGGTTCCTCTTCCAAGCGCTCCATTTCAACTTCGATTCAGCGTCAATTACGATCGGTTTCCTGGGACTGTCCGGATCTACCTGCCATTTTGGAGAACGTGACAGATCCTCGCTAGAGTCGACTCTGCCAGGCGTGTACCAAGGGAGCACTGGCTCTCTCTGTTTCGGTGGTTTCGTTGTTACCTCTTTGGGATCGTAGATCTATTTGTAAATTGAAGATCGAAGTACAATATGCTACGTGAGAAATTTATTTTTGGCACTAAGGACAGTAATAGTGGAGATTTTATTAATTTCAAATTAATTAATTTTCAACACTGTGGCGACTAATCTCGCAAGTAAACAACAACGTTACACGATTGTTATACTTTATTTTGTATTCTTAATTTTTCATCAGAGACAGATGAACACAGAAACGAACATTATACTTTTTTCGTTTCGACTGTTACTGAGGCTTACATTCTTTACTTTTATCGCCCCCGTTATCAACGCTTATCTGATTAATACATATTAATAAGTTACTTCTTTTCTGTGAGATCGTCAGCGCGAGTGAAACACAGAAGCTACGTAGAAGTGTAAATAAAGGGAGAAAAAAAAAAGAAAAACACGCTGTCGTCGTTCAAATCGTCTATTTTCTTCGTCAGAATTTTTTTAATAAATTTTCACCGATTATCTAGTTGCTCTTCAAATACTTTCTCGGCATTGTTGTCAGAAATAATCACCTTAGATCTTCTATAATAAATTCTTTATTCAATACACAATCACATTGCAACGTATATATAATAAACGTAGTATTCTTCACGCGTTATAGTGCAGCGACAATAGAAAAATAAAAAGCAAGAGACATGTCGTTGTACAAGGAAAAAATAATATCGTTCACAGTTACGAGCGGTAACGTACAACAATGACAGCGAGTCATGAAAAATATCGAATTCATTTCGTTGAAAGAGACGCGACAGTTCTTCAGGTAAGATTCGTTTCGGGAAAATCATCTCGGCCCGGTGGCCGAAGGAACAAGAGAAAAAGAAAGGAAAAGAGCACGTACCGCGTGGGCGAGAGCGATGATGAAACAGAGGAAAGCTAGAGTGACGAGGAAACGATCGGTGTACCGCGACATCATCCTCGACGCTTCGACGATACTGCTTTGTGTCGCAGCAGGCTGACCTGGTTTTCCCAGTAAGATCGTCATACGTTCACGATCGCGTCGCGTACTTACCCAGAAGCTGCAGATAACCGACGTTCTCGGACGGGAAGAAAAAAAGAAACGCGCTCTACGAAGAAAGGAAAGGGTTATCAGTCACGGAGGTCGAGGGTCAACGAGGAGATCATCGGTCGAGAAGAAGAAAGAATCGCGCGAATCGACGCGAAGGAACGAGCAAGATGACGAACGATCGAAACGGTCCAAGCAGGACGGGCTAACACAATCCGGGAGGAAGAAAGAGAGGATTTCATCCAGTGCGGGGGAAAGGAAGACGGACGAACGTGCTTTTATCAACACGCTAATAAAGCGAGTGTACATAGAACTGTTTGCCAATTGACTCCGGAGAGAATAAATTGCCTCTTGTTGACAACGATCAGACACGGGGGCTGATAAAGAAGCCGACCGCTTCTACTGCGAATGCTGTACCAGCGAAAACACAAAAGGAGAGAGAGAGGCGGACGGATGATAGTTTACCTTTTCTGGCAGTTTTATTCTCATTGCGTTACATTTTTACAAAACGAATACATGGATAGATGGACAGATGACTCTCTCGAGTCAGCCCGAGCTCAAGGGAGCTTCTGTGGCGGAAGTAGGGTCCCTGATGATGATGAAATAGCAAGGTTGTTAGTTGTATTGCAGGCAGTGACGCGCTCTGGAATTCTTCGAATCGATTCGAACGTGATTCGATACTTGGAACTGACTGTGAAAAAATACTCTTGACCCTTAAGTTCTTCAAGCTTCGAAGTCTTGGATGTGGATCTTACTAGATTTAGTCGGTTTCAAAATGTTTATTGAAAACTCAGCGATTTCGAAAACATTTATGCCTTTGAATCTCTGTCTGAGTTACGTCGTATCGAAGGCCCTTCAAAACTGAATCCTTGAATCTTCGAAACCTCTTCTCGAGATTTCGAAGATTCAAGGCCCAGGGACTGCCTTGGCTGAGAAGGCTGCAAAATACAAAACTTTCCACAACATCCGAAGGTTTCCAAGTGTCAAATGATAATTCGAAATCATCGAATCCCGTCGAAACTGAAGGAATCATTTCTCAAAGACTTTTGAGTGACCGTTCCTTCAGTCGAAGCATTCGTAAGCGTTTCGTTCGACTGACTTTACGATATTTTCTATTTCACCACGAGGGACTATACTTCTTTGGCGAACGAAGACCACAAACGACGAATCCACGTGCTCGATGTGAACAGGTGCCGGTCGCAGGATCGAACACGTAGGTGGATGTGCAGCTTCCGAGGTTGCACACGCCTTTCTGACATACCAAATATTTCGTGCAATCACCTGGATACGGTAGCACGTCGAATTCTTCCCCTTCCTGCGAACGAACAGATAACGACACACCAGAAATTATGGTCGGAGGATAAATGCTTTTTATTCGACGTCCAATTACTAGACGTCCAACCGCGTTATTATTTGTTCTCAACAATATTCGTAAAACATGCAGATAAAGTTATGAAGTTATTATGAAATGAGAAACAAGATATATCAGGAAACAAGTTTAAGCCTATGCTATCAGCGTAACATAGACCTTACGTAATAAAAAATCTGTGAAGTAAGAGGAAACTGATGGACATTGCTCAGTTATCGATGTAATGCATATGATAAGACAATTTTGAATGATAATTTTATTTATTTTATTTCTTTTTTTATTCGTTGAAAATATTGAACAAAGCGAAGTTGAAATGTAATTAGAAAATTGAATACAGTAGAAACTTTTTCATCCGTATTTTGACTGTTGAACAATCATCACTTATACTAATAGACATCTTGTATCGTTGCAACAATATGACGACCGGATATCAAGATTATTTGTAAAACAAAAATTCGGATAAGAACGGTTCTGCTGCAGCGCATTACTTGTATATTGATTACATAATCGATTTTAATAATTATTAAGTATTTGGAAGTAAGATAGCAGTAGCAATTACGAAATGTAAATGAACGTCATTATTTGTCAACAGAATATGAACAGAATCGAGTGTGCAATTACGTAAACAAAATGTAGATTTGTACGCGTATAAATTAAAAGAAGTTAAGATCATGTCATCGTTAATTATTAATAGCAAGTAGATTCTCTTTACCACTTTCATTTTCTTAGCAGCGGACACAACGAAACAGCAACATAATACACACAATAAGATCAACGATCGAGATGTCATCCTCTTGCACGCAAAAGAATAGCTGTACATGTCATATACAATATGACTACACACTAATAATTACCGAATGATTAAATTATTACGGTCAAGTCGTTAACGTGAAAGTCGTGTTTAAATGAATGACCGATAAAATTAATTATCAGTTGTTCTTTTGTTTTTTAATGTACTACGAACTATTTGGTTGATTATCTACACGATACACGAACGAAAGTCGCCTGTAGACTGTTGCAGTGCACTTCTTGCGAGCAATAGCCAGCATACACAACGCATCAAACTTCGTTCAGGCACTCATAGCTAAATTAGTAATTGTCAACGATATTCGGTGGAGCAATAATGATATGGTTAATAATACAACATTTGTCAAGGTCTTAATGATATACACAATTAACAGTAATAAATTTGAAAAGAATTTTATTTAATTACTCCACATCGTTAAAGTTTCGCTCCTTCACATTCTTTCTCTTTCAAAAATGTTTTCAAATGTATCCAACCTGGCGATTCGTACAATCTTGACGATTTTGAAGGGGATAATCGCAGGTACCAATATTTGGATTAAATTCCGTCCCTGCGCCACATTGCAAAACGAAACAACCGCTACCGTCACATTGCTGATATCTTGTGCAATCGCCTGGATAAGGATAAACTTCTCCCTAGAAATAATTAAATTGTACAAATGCATTGATAAGTTTTAACAATTTTTTTTCTATTCACTCGTGGACATTCTTTTCGTTGGTTCACCAATGAGGAAGGTGGCCACATTTATAAATAAAAGTATTAATAAAAGATATTGTGATGAAATACGTACTAATACACAAACAGAGCTGATATAAAAAACGCTGCACAGCAGGAATACAAAAAATTTGACAAAAGCCATGACTTCTTCTATAATTCGCTTCTCAAATCTGTTGACTCGTGCCACGAAGAATGTTCTTTACTAATGATGTGGATTTTACACGGATTACATCTTTTATATTGGATCACATCATGAATCAGAAACATGATTTAATGCGTTATTTAAATGTGAACCATTTTTTTTGATATCGCTTCTGTTTTCATAATCGAACATATACAAGGTGACGACCTTAGTTCTATAATGCGGATAAGAATTCAAATTACGCTACTATGAAAATCTTAAAATAAGATGAATGTATAGGAATTTTATATACATTCATCTACTCACTAACGTTAACGATTGATGATACATGTTTTTTTTTTTACATTAAATTCAAAGAAGATAAAATAAAAGTACTAATAACGATTATTAATAATAAAGATTATTAATAGTTATTTCTATAATTTATTATAATAAATTATATTACATTCGACACAAAAAAATATATATATATTTTATCTTACATCTATACTTTTGTAGATTTCTTTAAATGCAATATGTCAAGCAATCGTTCTTGCAATTTTTCATACGGATGCCGATGTTCAACGTCAGTTTTAGGTATTCTGAATAATCTACGAACTTTTGGAGATAGAAGTAGTAGACTTTGTGACATTGCACACAAATTATTGGTAACCCAGAATAAGGATAAACACTGAAATGTTTGATTTACAAGCATTAATAGAATGAACAATAGCAAAGAGTACAATTATTTGTTTCCTCAAAATGTAGATGCAACATACCGATGGTAAATATGATATCAAAGGTACGAAACAAAGAATAAGTATTCTACAGAAATTTTTATATATTCTATGAAATTTTGAATCCGTTATATGAAATAACATATGATTTACCTGCAAAATATATATTACATTAATGTAAGAATATTTATATGTAAATACAAGAAAAGAAATACATTCATACATACTTCCATTAGAACTAAGTTACTCGATCCAAAAAGTATGGGAAATACAAAGAAAGGATCTATATCTGTGAGATTTTGTATCCATCCAAAACCACCAGTAGTCAATTCTTGGAAGTCCTTAACGGTAGCTAGCATTAAAATTTTTGAGACTTAACTTGATGCTATTTCAGTGTTAAAAATATTACGTACAAAATATATTATTCACCAGGATCTATTTGAGGCAACATGTAACACATGTTCCTTATTGCAACTGAGAAACTTATCCATATTGGTGCTTGCAATAATACTATTGCAACAGTCTTAAATGGATGACAATTCTCTCTCATATATAATTTTTTTTGTTCTTTAGAAAACTATTATAAAAAAATAATATATCAGTATATTTGATGTAAATAGAAAAATATAATAGCATATATAATATTTAATTAAATACCTCACGTGTATAAAGAGAAATTGTACGTGCTGGACTTAATTGAGATGATACTGCTTCTCTTTCCACTTTTTTCTTTATTTTTTCAGCCATATCCATCATTTCACCTTTTAAGTTTTGCTGTTTGGCCTTGTTGTGAAGCTAAAATAAAGGTTAATTAAGAAATTAATTTGATAAAACAGTATCAATACTTACATCAAGTATGCTTAATGGTAAATTTATAAATGTTCTTGAAAGAACTGTTGTAAGCACAATGCCAGCCCACCATGGTAAACCTGTTTGATAATGCATAAATCTAAAAGCTTCGGTTATCCATTCCACAGTTATACTTTCGGATATCAATTGAAAAATGCCATTATTGTATCTTAACGTATCATTTACAATTGTAACTCCTGAATTTGAATATTGTCTAATATGACTTGCAGAAATAGGATAATTATTAGAAATTTTTGCAAGTGCTACACTCTTGTTACATAGTAATGGTGTTTTAAATATTTTTGGATGTAATTGTTGGTGTAAAATAGTATTTGATGTATTCGATAAGTTTCGCTTATTTGAAAAATATCCCACTAATATTTTATTGTTAGAAAAATAATTTTTATATACATTCAAACAAGGAGCATTAGAAACATAATGAATGGAACAAGAATGTTTCATAAAACTGTTGCCATAACATTTAAGATGCAATTGAATTTTTTTAAACATTCGTACGTTCATGATAGAATAATAACAAGGAACTTAACACTTTTCAAACACAAGTATAACACTCTATTTTCTTCTGTTATCTATATAAATATAATGAAGAAGTTAAGCTACATAACCTTAATTTGAACATAAGAAACATGCTTCAGCTACTCGTGTTTGATTACATTTCATTAAGATATAAATAAATTGACATTACTATGAAATTATTATAATTTCATAATTACAACAAATTTACAAAAAAAACAGTAGATATTACATTATAAAATAAAATATCCTACAAAGACAGAAATTACTATTAACGCCCTCTATAAATAACAGTGGTAACGACCTTGACTAATGGTATTGATATCGACGAAATATATGAATAGAATCATTGACTAACTTGCAATATCTATCGGATACCTCATCTGGGTAAATGATAACAATATAAGTCGTACATGTTTCAAAAAATATAAAATAATTCGAATACTCTTATAAGATCATAATCTCTTAGTTATTACAAAGTTAATTGTTTCTACAATTTAATTTTATTTTATATTTATCATATATTGATACAAACAAAGTTATCATTTGTGGTAATATGGTAATCTAATTTAGTAAGTAATGGTAATAATATAATTTTTTTTATAGGAATGAAATAACATAATTAAGCTTTTTATTTACATATTTAATAACATAATTAAAATATAAAAATTTGATACGATTATTGTAATAATAATAGTTTTGTATTATTGTTGATTTATCTAAGTAATATCAATTTTGCATAAAATAAAAATTAGGTAAACATTAGACAACATATTTATTTAAAAAAATATATATTTCTTTAAATTAAATAATATTTTTAATTATCCTCATCAATAAATGTTTCCATATTATTCGTACACACATATTACATCGTAATTAACAGTAAAATAATTAAAATTTCAAAAATTAGCTGTACTCAGATATAAAGAAATTCTTTATTTTCTTTATTATTAGCAATTACAAGCATCTCTCAAACACATCATACACGTAATTTATAAATTTTAAAAATGACATCCTCACGAAGGATCCAAGATACCATTCTACTGACACATTCCAGCAAAAAAAGATAATAGTAAGAAGAAAAGAAAGTGATAACAAAAAAAGAGCGAGGAGACATCTACATACACATTCACATTCTCCAGTGAACTTCGTCGAATCGAAGCGCAATGTTCATTTCATGGTTCGAGGGGGGTTGGAGGGATGAGATCGCGCGTCGAGTATCTTTGCATTAACATTTACCATCCCTTCTTTCTCTGGAAACCGCAGTCCTCGCATCATCGTGTCGATTTCCAGCCATCCCTCCGCGCCAGAAACCGGAAGAAACGTCGGCATAGCATTTCATCGACAAATGGCATCGCAGCCCTAACAGCCACCTACGACGTCGGTCTAATCTCGAGGCAACGGTTGGTCGTTGAGATCCTGGCTCTTTTCCGTCGTCGAATGGGCGTGCTGGAAACGCCCATCCACCCTTGCTACATAGATTTGCACCCCTGCGCTGTCTCAGGGGTGGAGTCGACCAATGACACGGTGGTAACGTTCGTCTGACAACGTGGCCTTTGGAGCCGCCCCCGTATTTCCCGTGGCTAACTAGCACTACCCCACTATAGTCGCGTCAGCCACTCGGCCAGCAAGTCCCCGGGCCGTCTAGTCGCCCGTTGGAATTCCCCACCTATCCCCCTGTCACCTTCCTCTGACCCCTCTTCATCTATGCTACTACCGCCCTATTTCAGGCCAACGTACCAGCCACATTGAAGAAGTGGTGTACATCGTGCAATAGCCTGACTAAAGCCGCGTCTAGCGATGGCTACGAACCTCGTCCCTCTCTCTCGTCAGGCGAGCCTCGAACAATTTGATTCCTTGTCAAATATAATGATTCGAGTTAATACAGAAGATAACAAAGAGATTTGCTTTCTTTGAATTTCCATTCAGATGATTTTTCAAACAGCTGAATGAGAAACGGTCGGTCAGTTTTCAGTGACTAATAATAAGATAAAGGAAGAACGTACGCGATGTACGAAAGTAAGAGAAATAGGTATAAAGCATCATCAAATAAAAACGTAGTAAATTCGCCAATTAACCTTGATTGTCTCAGCTTTAATACTTCCAACTTAACGGTCACTCGTTCAAGAACAAGACACGAGACGATCGAATCTTTCGCTATCCCCATGTCGACGTCATAGCTACGCCGACTCGCGGCCGTTTAGGAACTTCTGTACGTGTGTTAGGCATCGCTCACACCCTGACCAACCACCCTCTCCTAGAAACACGTCGAGCGTGTTGAAGAACGACCCGTGATTCCAGCTAGTATGGCTACGGTCAGGGGAGATAGGTAACTCCGACAGCCAATCGGGCAGCAGCCCCTATATACGTGCGTAACACGAACGTACAGACGCACCGTGCACACACATTGACACGAGCAAGCCGTATACACGAGCGGGAATCGCGGTACCCGCCCTTCCCGACGAGATGAGTAGCTACATCGAGGCTCGAAGCCACCTCGTCACGGAGAACGCTTCGAGACTTCGCGCGACTCCCTCGGCGTCGTGTCGGAACGACCACCGGTCCAGTCGTCCGTCTGGGGATGCTCGACTTTGATCAGTCGCGAAAGATGGGCACAGGTCAGTTCGATAAAGCGTGCCTCTCTTGCTTTTTCTCGTCAGTGATACGTAGGAGTGGTTCGCCAACCCCCGATGCGGGCACGCGGTACTCGGAAGACAGTGACACGCGTGTCTCTTTTTTTTTTTCATTATTCACTTATTTATTTACTTTTTTGTTCTTTTTTTTTTTTATTTGCTTGCACACTGACGACGAGATTTCTGTTTCCCCTTTTCATATTTTTATGAAAAAAAAAAAAAAAAAAAAAAAAATT